TTCTCAAGTCCAACAAGCACAAACAACTATCTTGTGAACTATCCTATGCTAGCGACTATCGAGATCGAAGCTATCTTAAGAATTTCTGGCTAATTTGAGTAGTGCCACACAATCAAAATTTTTCGTCTAGCATGACGAAGAATAGGTAGCAAATTATGTGCATAAGACCAAAATATTATCTTTGTAAAATGATTTTTTTCAAAATATTTGCGCAGCAAAAGACGCATGTAGCTGGTACGCTCCAGCTCGAAGGAGATCGCTAACAGCTCTCAAAAACGGAATGTTATTTAGTTTTGCAAGATCAACAATCTTACTGCTAGAAGCCGGCAACTGCTCGAGCCGTTTCCGTTCCACATAATATAGTATGAATCAGCTGTTCCAACAATGTGATTTTTCGAAGGAATATGTTTGGATTCGGCATATATTTCAATGAACGATATAAACGATGAGGGAAAAACATTGACATTGATGAATGCACAAGTGATAGTCATGCATTAGATTTCATTGTGGGTCGTTAAAAGTCACTGGATGCAGATATAGTTCGTTCAATGTCTTGCTGATGTACTACGTCAATGTTTTCATGTTTCTAGAGAAGTCTGGTGCTTATTTGCTAACCTGAGAGTGATGGAAGGCATGCTGATACGGGTTGAACCAGAATTCAATCCAATGTGCATTGCAAGGTACCTGGACCACTGCGCCTATATTGAACGGCATAAGTTGAGTAAGACCTGCCTACGATTTTATATTATGTCGAGCTAATTTTTTTTTATATTAAGGGATTTCATGCCACATGGGCGGCGTACCTAGATGAGGAGCTCATGGACGTTCGCCAAAATCCTAATCAACATGTAATTATGTCCGGGTAATACAAATAGCTCAAGGAATTAGAGCGAGCTCAAAGTCTTTTCGTAATTTTCTTCTTAATCACAAATTAGTTCGATCACTACTAACCAAAGTTCTTCTCAAACTTATGCATGAATAGGGTTTGCAAGCAGGGAATCGATGGACTCACCAAAAAACAATGACACTGTGAAGTAACGAGGCAACCTTTTTGTAGACATATGTGCTCCGCTCGGATAACGTTGCCGAGAAATCACGTTGGACAGTTTTTTGGTGGTCCATAACTTCTGCGAATCAGGCCTGTTTCGTACGGGAGTATTGTGAGGACATTCTCATTGCCATCAGCAACTCTGGATTCCCTCGTATTCATTTCCTTTCGGGGATCTTTCTTAACACATTCAACGTCGTGCTTTTGCGAAAGTTTTTATTATGGACCGTTTTTTAACTGGTAATTTAATGCAATTCGTCCTCATCTGCAGCACAGGTTGTTGAGCAGAAATGGTGACACTAAGCATCGTTCGGAGCGCAATTGGAGTGCTACGGTGCCGCGTGAAATGACGAATACAATGCTAGTCCACCTTATTTAAGGAAGATAGATTTACGATGAAAACTATTTCATGGTAATAGGTGCCTCGTAAAAATATCCGACGTACGTTGATTTTCTTTTGATTTTTGCTTTTTGAAAGAAATCATATGGAACTTGGTCAGATTTGCAGCCTTAAAGAAAGTAAAAAGATTAGCGAATGAGGTAGCCGTTTGGTCTTCTAGTCTCACAGCAAGAAACATTCTCAACAACATGGCGTGGCGTGGTGCTTTGGCTCGGTGTCATTGACTTCCAACACAAACCCGATTTAAACAGTCTTTCACATCTATTTTCACTACACAATATTACATATTGTCCGGGAAAAACAAGTTGCTATCACACTATCATCGGACAATCACGGCTATCAACCATCAGCAACCTGCATGAAAGGGCATCACAGACAGAGTCTGCCTCATTCGAGGAGATGGCCAGCTGAGGAAGACCTGGCTGGACACGAAGTCGAAGCGGCCACATCGAGACGAAGACAGACGTGGACCACCGACTCGGATCATCGGCTCTGATGAAGAAGAAGACGCTGAAACGTTAGCCGAAAAAAAAATATATTTATCAACCTCGTGTAAGCTCATCAAAGAAAGACTGCACAATGCACAATAAAAAAAATAACTCGGTATGCTCTGTGAAGAAGGTTTTTTGGAATTCGACAAGATTTTACTTCAGATTAATGTAAATTCCTTATGTGGAGCCTATGTGCTCAATCCTTCCTTATGGGTAGTGAGAACACTTTTCGTGCTACTTTTCTGCTAAGTAATAAAGTATGGTGATGTCTGTCTACAGCATAGTACTGTTAATCGGAGAGTAGAGAGAAAGTATAGTAAAAAGCACAGAATGAAAAGTGGCAGTACCAATTCCAGAAATGGAAAATTTAGGTGTCTATTCAGAACTCACTGAGCTTTGAAAACGTTTCATGTGGATTGTTTGCAATAAAATTACTCAAAGCTTTTTAGATAGCTTATGAGCCGACTACTTCTAGCAGAATTTTACCTTTTCAAAGTTGCATTTCTTCATTCGTGTAAGTGACCCATAATACCACTACAAAGAACTACGAGGGTACCACTAATCTTGTCTTTCATACTGGGTTAAGGTATGAAAGTTTCCACTGTTCTTTCTTCTCCCAAGGGACACGAAGAACACTACAGTTCAGCATAGCGCCATTTTTTTTAATCCGCTCTCTTCGAAAAGGTTGTAACGATTACCAAGTGAGGGTCTGCCTCAAATGGGCTTGATTAACCGCACGGAATTGTAAAATCTTCCTTAACGTGGGAGATTCACTGGAGGATTAAAAGGACTCGTTGCACCTCGTAATTCTACACCCATGAAAACCACTCAACCACGACAAGGGGCTGAACCATTGCGAATATATGCATATGTAAAATCAGGTTAGAAAATGTGGAGGTTAAGGAACGCTCTTATTTTTCTTGGTTCTGAGCAACCCAGGAAGCTCCAGACTTTTCAATATCAGAGAGATCAAGTGCTAGCAATTCCAGCACATGTTTTTCAATTCCAAGTTCTTTGTTTAGCATGCCATTCGCTAGAAATAGGAATATGAAGAAGGCAAATGTTTGCAGCATAAGGAGCATAAGCTACGTTCATTATCAGGAGATATCGTACCGTTGAAGAAGAGTGTTTATTGGAGAAATGTTTCCTAAACGGATACGCAATGAACACCTTCCAAAGAGAGTTCTTGTTTCGAGATTGGAAGAGTTGCCAACGAGGGCATCTTAAAAGACAACGAATCTTCCGTTACATGGTGAAAGGTCCATTATCACCTTCTATTCAACGCTTTATAAACTACCTGATAGAAAGGCAAATAGACAATTATTAATGAAAGGAGCAAAACCTCTATAACTGAACAATGTTAGTGGAGCCAACGACAACTAAAGTGTTGGTCCCAGCGGCAGAAAATAAACCAACTTAGAAGAGGAATAATTTTTTTTTGTTCATATAACTTGATGTCAATATAGCTACACAGCAGAAGCAAAATTTTTCGATAGCTTTGAATTTTTGCAGTAGCTAGCCATAATATCTTGTTGATATCTTGAATTCTTTCCATACCGTAGCATTTTGAGTTCTTTTTGTGCTAACATTGAGCTCTCTGATTAGCTGCGAATGCATAAAGGATTCGATTCAGTTCAAATGTGAGGATTCCGAAGTGGCCACCATACCCGAAATTCGTGCGGTTATGGACGAAATCACCGATATTCTATAGCGACGCGGAGTAATTGCAGAATTGATAGCCGGTTAGAAAATGTGCCTGAATACCTTCTGTCCCATTCCCTTTTTCTAACAAACTTTGCCCATTTCGCACTTGATACGTCCAAAAAAACGATAATCTATTATAGTTTGTGTTTAAATGGTTTCCACGTTAAATCACAGCCACTATTAGTATGGCAAGGGACGGATAGCACAGTAGTAGTGACGTGCGTCATCGCGAGCATGGCGCTAGTTCGTTTCTGCTTCTGGCCAATCAAGCCTTTCATCTCTCCGGGATCGGAAAATTGGTATTCGACTTCTTTGGGAAGAAATTATTTTTTGCAATCCAAATGGGAACGCTTTTGCCTGGCCACGAGACGTAGAGAATTCAAGTCAAGCACTTGTGTCAGTTCGCCTGATGACATTTGGTGGAAAAGCGACAGACAAACAATTCATGCTACCTTTTACGAGAGTACCGTATTTATGCGAAAATATTTCATAAATGCTATATGAAAAGTGGCAAATCATAGTCGTGGAAAACTGTTCTCACTCTCATTACGAACGTTAATAATTGACGCATTGCACTGAACACAATGAGAAATCACTGGGCGAGTTCTCACGCTCCTCACATATTTAACTCTTTCCGCTGACTTCGAAGCATAGCACATCTACAAAAGAAGCAATTCCTCAGTGAAGCATATCAAATAGAAAAGAACTACCACTTTTCCCCCTAGCTAATCCTAAACCTTGTTACCTGTCTGTTTCGATTAATGTGTTAATCGGATGAAAACACTCAGTTTGACTTCGGGACCACTTCGTAAACGGCATTGAAGAGAATTGTCAATTCGGTTTAGAAGACAGTGGTGATATGACCACCATTGTAAAAATCATTTTTATGAGGCAAATAGTCGATCGCAAGTCGCGCGAAGTACTCGGTTAGCAGAAGGCGAATGAAACTCAAATTTGGAGAACGAGCCCTTTATAACGGGAAAGACCGCCGACATCATTTAGGTTAATAGTGTTTTCATCGTTGCTGAAAACTCCGTGCAAACTTGTCGCCGGAACATTAGATCGGAAATCGTCAGAAGTTATGCAAACATTTGAATTCTTTAAATTCTTCTTACAGAAAAATACTCTATCTGGTTCTTAATAAATTTCACAAAGCTGATAATTCCGTTAGAAAGAAAGCCATTTTGGTTCACTAACGTCGTTTTATTCTGGTGATCAAGATAAAGTGCACACAAGGTTACACATCTCACGACAAATAAGGTAAGTGGAAGAGAACAAACAGAACGCTTTATTTTTTGTGCTTTTCATTGCCGAAACAACAGATTATAGGAGAGTGAAGCGAAAGTGAGATCTGAATTCATCGGCTGACGGTGTTCGCTACTGGTCGTCGTTCTATCGTCGCCGACGCTCCATCAGTACACACTGAATCGGACTGAAGTAGCAATTCTTGAACTGGTTCAGCGCTCTCGACTCGATGTTGTGCGGCACCCGCTTGTGCAGTCGGTACGATGTTAACCTCTGCAGCGCATTTCTGAAATAAATACTGTCTTGAAAGACAGTCATTTTTAAAAATTGTTCCGAATTAGTGTTACTACCATCCCATAGATCCATGTCACGTATTCGTTTCCTTTTGCATCTAAGACATGCAAAGAAAAAACAACCAGGAACAATGAACTTGAAATGACAAGCATAGATGTTTGGCACCAGACACGAAACCACTAAGATCCAGCCCTACGTGCAAATACGTACGTGGTTGCCTAACAAAAAGCACTGGTAAGGTGTGCGTCGTTAAGATAAATCGAGTAGCACGTTAATATTACAAGACAACACCTACTGGTCTATAATGAAAGTAAAAACCGCCGAAACGATCAGCACTCATTATGTAAGGATAAACGAACGAGCGAAGGATGAATAATCTCCTCTCAATGGAATCCATTTGAAAATGGCCTTGAAAAATCAGTTCTTAGCTAAACTGTAGCTAAGGTGAGCAAGCACTGACCGTCACTTCTACATGGCCGAAAGTTCTAAGCGTTCAAAAAGCGCTCGAAAAATTTTACTGGTACCTATTCGTTTTCACGTTAACTTGCAAACCCAATGCTTGAGAAAAACTGACGTTTTGAAGCCAACGAAATAAATTTACGGACGGAAAAAAGAGAAACACCAATGAGTCCCTGGCTGTGTAATGAGAGAAGAAAATGGCGGCTGAATGAGAAGCACTTTCAAGCGTGTTTCGAGGGAACAATGATCTAGGAGGACATCACCAAAAAGCTAGCCAACTGTCCGATGAGTATTTACATAGGCACATCCCTGTTACCCCACGATTTTCTATGAGTGTAATTAAATTCTAAGCTGACTTATACCTCTATCGATGAAGAACGGAGATAAGAAATTGGTCGATGTTGCGGCACTCTCATAATAATATAAATAAAGAATAATAACTCTTCGCATTTGCTCAACAAAAATACGAAGAGTTTCTCATAATAATATTGCTTCTTTTAGAATAATGGCTTAATGGAATGTGTAAACATAGAAGTGTCTTATCGGCTATTATCAAAGTCCTCTGTCTTCTTTGTAGGACTTATCAAAATATACCGTAACTCGTCACATCGCACAGATTTCGCACATGTCCATCTATAAAATAAGATTGGTTTTTCAAAGAATCTTTATGGTGTGTACAATGTGTAAAGGCTCTGCAATAAAAGCAGTAACACCACATACTTTTATCTCAGCTATTTTTCGAATTAGAACACCTTAGATGTGTTCTTATATGAATATAAAGATGAATGTGAGATGAATAGTAAGACAGAAAAATCTTGCAATGTTAACCCATCTTGTCTACCGCTGGTGCAGAAGAGGAAATGTGGAGAATAAGCTAGTGACGTTCGAAGTGAAGGCTATAGAAGGAGTACCAGCTTGTAGCTCTAAGCAAACCACTGGGTAACTTCCACACGGGTGACGAACAACACATGCGAAATCGCTGGGGTGTTTTCCCACCGGATATTGACGAAATGGTTTTTCACATCACCTGCTCTCCGTGGGTGGGCTTACTAGTAATGTTGGAGGCGACATCACTCTGTTCACTGTGGAAACGAAATAAAACTGTATACTTTCTGGAATTAGAATTAGAACACACTAATAAAATTATTACTTAAGACTCTCCGCTAGCTAAATGCAACCAGTCACGTCGTTTTAGGCACTCAAAGCAAGTAGCTGTAAGGTCCATCACTAACTTATTACAAGTTACATTCAGCTTCAGTCAAGTGAGCTAAGAAAGCAGTCCTTTCTAGAATCCGCTCATGAAGCACAACCATGTGATGGTGACGTATTCCCAATTGTCCTCAAATTCTCACACCTACTCTTTTCTCCGTGCCAAAGTAACCAACGAACCAATGATTGGGACTTCAATGCAGGTGGTCATATGATTTTTTCGAAAAGCATTCTGATTCAAGAATCTCGCTGTTTTTGAATAGAAAAGGAATGATGTTCTTCCACTAGAGGGGCTACTGGTTTAATCTGAATAAGTCTCAAAAAATCATTTAAAAAATGTATTACTCAACCACGTCCAAGATGATTTTTTTCTTCGTGCTTTGCATATTTTCAATTAACGAGGCTCAAAAGCACGCTGTTTAATTCGTTCCCGTTATCGGAATCTCCAACCATATCCGTCGCTGCTATTCTCCTTGCTACCGACAACTTCTCGTACTGACTAGCTGAGTTCGGCCCAAGAAGTTTTGTAATTTAAAATGTTGTACTTCTCAGCACTAGTCTCGGAAAGCTTTTCTCCGTTCGAATTCTACCGTAGTGTGGTACGACATTAAAAAGTCAGACTTCGAAAAACTTGCAACGCCATGCTTCCGACATTTTTCTAACTGCCTAAAATCGTCACAGCTCATTGAATTTGAAGAATTTAGCACTGCAAAATGTTGTCAGAGCCACGCTGACGAGTCTGTAGTCAATCGAATATAACCACTGAGAAATGCATTGCTTGTTGCTTCAAGAGTTCGTTTTGTTCTGCACCATGCCACGGCTCACATCGTGTCCAATTTAAAAAGCCAAAAAACGAACTATGCTCGACGGAAAACGTACTCCGTTCCTTCTCGATTGATTCAGACAAATTTCAACTATTTCCGCATGGTTTTTTAAAGGAATTTTTCAACAAGAACAGAGCCGTACAAGGTACGAAAAGGGTAAGATATAAAGCACTCGGCGTTGATCAATCCCTGAAGGATAGCCTATGCATTCGATTTCATTAAGCATCGTTTAGAAGTGATTGAATACATATCTGGTCTTTACAATAACTCGAGGTGATATACCGACGTATTGAGCCACTACTGTTATCCTCACAGACAAGTCTGCTACTAATGCTGACCTCGGAGGAATGGAAGGCTTGGTGGGCCATGGGTGCGGAGATCGATTCCACGTATGTGTTGCAGTGCGCCTCCGATCACTGCGCCACACGCGCCGCTCGTTCTGGGTATTTCTGTGAAATTATGAATCGTGACAAAGAATTAGCTCAAAGGGCAAGACACCACTGCGAATATTACGCAATTACGCAATCAAGTGGCCTAATGAGTTGCATATTAATGAATCCTTCCAGGCTCTGAAGAAGGCGATTCTGCCGAAACGTCAGCTACGGTTATGTTGTATATGTACTATTGTATGGAAGCAAACGTATGCTGTTTAACAATCTCGCGATTGCTGAGAAAGAAAATGACGAATTACGCAATCGGTTCTTGAGGTCTGAACAGCTTTTAGAAAGCGACTCCCACAGATAGTGTGGACCGGGAATTGCTGCGCGATAGTGAAGAAAATATGATATAATTATGACCAGCAGTCTGAAAGAGATGATCCGGTTTGCTGACCAGGTAGAGAAGGCCCCACAAAACTGGCAGTTGCCAGGAGGGAACGGAGTCAGTTCAACTGGACGCGAAAAATTCCATTCCACATGTGACTATGCCCTCCCGACCGAGCGAAAAGAGAAAGCTGTAAAGAAACGGAAACTATTTGGAAATTTCACCATAAACTATTTATTCGTTTCAGTGAAAAAGTAAATTTATTGATCCAGTAACAAGTCAGTGTAGTTAAAAAAACACGTTAGTTAAATTGGTGGGAAGCTTGACTAAGTGCACTAAACACTAAGTGCTTGACTTCGTCCTTTCTCGCTTAGTTGGATGAATTCAATGTCAACAATACGGCAGAGATCGATGTCTCTTAAGCATCTAATCATCTTGAAAACCTGTTGACATCTCTATGTGAACGATTCCCGCTGAACTCAAGGAATTGCTTAGATTTCCGAAGTAAGCGGAAAAATGACATCATTCCTGAATCACCTGGATCTTCGACTTCATGACTTTTCCTATATTCGTTTTAATTTAAAAACTGCAAAGATATTTCTTAAAAACCAATAAAAAGGTAGGATATTGTTTTAGTTCATGCGTTTCACTTACAGCATTCGGAGTAGCAGGTAGGAATTGTTACTTGATGAAGAAGCCTTCAACGAGAGCAAATCTCTGTGGAACTATATTTCGATAAATTTAAGTTCTAAGATCTTGGTTAAAAAGATCATCAACCTTCCTTTCTAAAAAAAAATCTGTCAACAATAAAGAAAGGTACATACAGTTTCGCATTAAATAGCTGCTCATCCTGAAGGCTGCGGTCAGCATCCCATCCGTACGACGAACCAACGCACCTGAAGGGGAGCAATTCTGGCGTTATCTTAAATCAAAGCCGTGAAATTCTTAGCGCTGTTCCTGACACACGAAAGTTTTATGCATGAACGAAAATTTATTCGCGCCTATCGGTGCTAACTCTCTAACTCGTCCACATTTACGTTTCCAGATATTCCGAGGGAAGGTATCTTTTACTAACCAAAAACTGCAACGAGGGATACAAAAAAAGCTCCACTGCTGAAAAAATACATGAATCTGCGAAACAAAATAAGGCGCATAGCGCAAAAAGGCGTAGCCGAAACCCACTCCGATTTCTCCCCACTTAAATCTGCACCTTAGCAAGGAATAGGTGTATCTTCTTCATAAAAAATGTTGTGTAGAGTTTCTGCTCAACTCCGTAGAAGGAGCTGTGCTACTACATGAATTTCCCACTATGTACGGTACAAATGCAGCTAAAAGAATATGAAAGAGAGGAAAAATGATTAGAGAACCATAACGATGCTGACATATTTGCAAAAGTCCGGGCCACTTGTGTCTGCTGTAAGGACCGAACACGCTTTTGCACTTTCCGGGGGATAACGCGATCACCACCACACCATGCGAGTCCTTCGTTTTGCCTGTCTCTTAGCCGTGTTATTGGCCCATTGTTGCTTTCAGCAATCACACGTTTAAGGAATTGATTTGGGAAGCACTAATCGGGCATTGAACCCAGTTTAGCTGAAGCTGCGGTATAAATCACAACGTCACCACTACTTTGTATGCAGTAAATAAAATAGTGACGACATAATGATTACAGAATTTCTAACTACTAAACCGTTGACTAGAATTCTATTTATTACATCGTTATCAAGAGATCTGTCGACTAATGGCAGGATACGCTATCATAACACGAATCGACCGTTTCGCCCTTGAAGATTAAGAGCGGAAAGACAGCAATTTCCCACAGACTACCATTTATCTGTAATCATGACCTGAGAATCATCTAGTACGGCTACCTCTGTTTCTCTGAGAAACACTAGCTCGTCGAACATTGGCCATATAAATCAAGAGAAAAGGTGACAACATTTGAGAGTTGCAATATACACACTAATCCGGCCGGCCACCTTACTGTAGATGACGACTACAAGATAACGAAAAGTATAAAGTACTGGATCTCATTCACACTACATGTTAAACGAGTCGTCAAAGTGCCTAGGCATCTCCTTAACTACCTCAGTGTACTCCCAAGCTTTCACCAATTATCGGTTAAAGCATACACATAAAAGGA